TATTGTACACAATGATACCTGAAGGACATTTTGATAGCACATCTTGTCTCTGTTATTTTCTACATAATAAAAACTACAATCGACGAAAGAGACAAGCATAAGTGTGTAACTTTAAAGGTATTTGCTTCACAAAGAAAAAAGAACCTTCATTTTTATTTTGTTTTTTTTTTCTTTTTGCGTTCTGTCTTCATCTTTGTTTTTTCAACGTTGTTTGAGTGAATAATAAGCAGTGTGTAGTAGTGTAAGACAACGTGCATATTTGTAGAGAAAAAATTATGTTGAGTGTTACTGTCCTTATGAAGATCAACAGATAAGTTTCTTCCTTTTTTTAGATCAAATCAGATATCATTATTATTATTATTATTATTATTATTATATATGATGAATATGAATAAATGAAAAGGTTTATTTCATACATATAGAATTATCTACGTAGTCAAATTAAAAATAAAATGGATTATTTACTAAGACGTGAACGACGTCGATTGGCAAAAGATTTAATTAATCAACGAATAATAGAACAGTGAGTTATTCTATTAAACTAAATTAAATTAAAATGAATATATTTTTATAAAGAGCAATTGATATTGAAAGACAACGTGAAAATGATCTTCGACGAGAATTTCAATCAATAATTCATGATATTAAGGTTAATCATATAACTATTTATAATTAAATAATTTATTTTTACAAAATAAATTCGATTAATTATTTAAAATATAATGATTTTATTTGAAACTAGAGTGTAGAAAAACGACGACATGCTCGATCACATTCACAAAGTAGTGATTATAGAGATAATCGTCATCAACATGATTCTAATGATTTGTATGAAGAACAAGTAAATAGATTTTTTTTATCAAATATATAATTGTTTCATTTTATTTTTTTTTTAATAGTCAAGATATAGAAGTGGTAGTCTTTCTCAATATCGTCATTCTCATCATCAAGTTTGTTATCATTTCGCTTTATAAAGCTATAAAATGTTTGTTTTTATTTCTAGCATAGTGACTCAAGAGAATGTTCTTTAGTTACATTAACTTATCGTAGTTCAGCTGCTAGTAGACATGGTGATGAGATAATGATTGTTCAAAATGGTAGAACAGTTTTCAAAGGTTGTTTAACATGTGGAGGTATTTTTAACAATTTTAATCATTTGTCTTTGTTCATTATTTGTTATGGTTGATGATCGTTTACATCGTGTAACTAAAGAAATAATTATTATTTTGTGTAAAATAATAATAATAATAATAAAATAA